TACCAGTTTTTATGTAAAGATCTATGTTTTCATTTTTCTGGGACAAATGCCCAAGAGTGGGATTACTGGGTCATATGGTATTTGCATGTTTGTAAGAAACTGCCAAACTGGTTTCCAGAGTGTGAATCATACATTTTAAACATGTAGTACAACTATTTCTCCCAGTAATTAAATATTCTTAAAAAACAAAATTTTTAACAACTACAAAATATTGCATGGGCTGGATGTAGCATAATTTATAAAGATTTCCCCTAATGTTGAACATTTTGGTTATTTCAGATTTCTTTCTCCCTCAGGAAATCAGTAATAGACTCCTGCCGGTGGAATTGGTATGAAGAATAGGCCAGCTGGAACTGGTTTTTGGAGTGCCCTGAAGTGACCAGGTTCTGAAAGACTGATTTGTGCTAACTACACTGCACAGAGGACTGAGGGAAACATCATCACAATGCCACTTTGTGAAATCTTTGGATGAAAAATACAACACAGATAGGGAGTACTTGTGGTAGCACTGGCGTAAATGATACCCTCTTTGGCCTACCTTGGAAGACTATCATAATCAGAAACTACCTTCCAGTTTACCAGGAGAAAGACACTGGAATGCCACAACTCTTTCATGCAGTCAAGTGCTGGGGGAATCAGACCATCCCTTCGTGAGCTTGGTACCAGGCAAAGGGGAGTGGGATGCCTTTCAGGGCACAATTCTGGGGTGGTGTAGTACCTGTTTCTCATTTTGGGAAGGGCTTTGCCATAGGACAGAACACAGGATGTCTGCTGGCTGTGTTGCACATGAGTGCTTGAATGGCTCTGCCCATAGTCACTCTCTGATTTCTGTGTGTTTAAAACCTTTTCTGACTGACATAATATTTAATTTGTGAGTTAATGCCCTCAATCAAGATCTGCGAGCCTAGTAGCTTTTCTCTCTTTCCATTTTGCATCTTTGAATTCTGATCCATTTTAGGTTGATTTTGCAGTTTAACTCTCAGTGGGAAATGCATTTTTCTCATTCCGAGGTTCTTTGAGGGTACCTCACTACAGCTCCTAAGTACTTACAATTTTCACTCTTGTCAATAGCTTTCATTATTACAGATAACATGCACTTTTATAAGAAGCCTCTTTTGCATGAATATTTTTATTTTTTCTTTAAGGGAAATTTTAGATGTAGAATCATCAAGTTAAAGAGTAGAAAGATTTTGAGGATTTATAAACTGATCCCTAGAAAAGGAGCTCCTTTTGAAGCTTAATGAGAATGCTCATTTCATTTTATGTTTGTCAACAGTGGTCAATAATTTAAAAAAATACTAATTTGAAAGGAGGAAAATGGCCTCTATTTTAATTTATATGTCATTGATTTTCGGTGAGTTACACACTAACACATAAACAGGCTGCCTCCTAAGGCAAACTTGAAGGCTGTATATGGGGAACCTGTGAATTACTGCATGGGTCATGGTGGGCCAGTTCCAGTTTTCGGAGGTGTTCATTCCTTTTTATAGAACTGACTATAGTAAGAAAAGACTTATCTACCAAAGGCTATGGCTACGGATGCTCTGTAGTGGGCATGTAACTTAGCGCCATCTATGAACCAGAGAGTGGGCCCTCATCAGACACCGAGTCTGCCAGTGCCTTGATTTTGGACTTCCCAGTTTCCAGAACTGTGAGAAATAAGTTTCTATTGTTTATAAGCCACCCAGTTTATGCCATTTTAAATAGCAATCCAAAAAGACTAAGACAGTGACATTTGAGCGAACATGTGAAGGAAGAAAGGAAGCTATGCTTGTGGGTATCTGGGAGAAGACATTCCAAGTAGAACAAAGAGCTTGTGCTAAGGCTCTGAGGAACTGCCTTTCACTGATCAGAAAACTAATCTTAGCTGGTTTTACAGGCTCTGGTCTGGGAAGTCCCAGGGCAGATGGAATGGGGGAGGTGAGAGCTGCAGCTGCAGACTTCAGGTGCCCTTAGGGAAATCTAATTCACAACTTTTCTGTAGGTGGAAGTTTTGGTGGTTGCTATTTGTCCAAATTTCCTAAGTGCACTTTTGATGATCCAGGATCTCAAAGTAGGAGTTGGTTTCCCAGTAGTCAAAAAGGTGACTCTCCTTTCCTTTCCTGCCCTTGGGTCGAGACTGGTTACCTGGGGGATACACATGTGGAGACAGGTAAAGCAGGCAAAGAGGGTCCAACAAGTGCCTACCTTGTCTTGCTGTGGCTTGCTGTTTGTTACCTTTTTGGGTTTCTCTACTGCAGATCAGGGCTCCTTTGGAGCTGAATTTCCATACAGTAGGATTGGATAGTAGGAATGGAGGACTTCCATCTAGTAGGACCACACAAGATTGGAGTGTCTCAGCAAAGTGGTAGTAATGATTCTGAGTTGTACTTTGACAAACACAAAATGTCATTCCATTAGAGGGAAAGGGAAAGGAACAAACATTTATTGCATTTTAAGAACAGGCCATTCACTGTGATAAGCATTTTATATACATTATCTTATTAAATCTTCACTACTACTCTGCAAGGTAGGCATTATTGTCTCCATTTTACAGATGAAGAAAGCAAGACTCAAAGATATTGGTTATTTTCCTGCTTACAAAAATACATATACTTTGTAAAAATGTTGAAGTTTTATTGTTTGAACAATAAAAAAAAGTTTAAAATATGGCCAGATGCGATGGCTTATGCTTGTAATCCCAGCACTTTGGAAGGCTGAGGCTGGGGGAGGATTGCTTGAGGCCAGGAGTTCGAGACCAGTCTGGGCAACATAGTGAGACCCTGTCACTAAAAAAATAAAATAAAATAAAAAATTAACTAGGCCGGGTGGTGCCCAGCCTGTAGTCCCAGCTACTCTGAAGGCTGAGGCAGGAGCATCGCTTGAGCCCAAGAGTTAGAGGTTGCAGTGAGCTATGATTGGGCCACTGCACTCCAGCCTTGGGTGACAGAGTGAGACTCTGTCTCAAAAAAAAAAAAAAAAAAATGTAAATAATAGGAAGTGAAAGTCCCTCATGGTCTCACCTCTCAGAGAAAACCACTCCAGTCGGTAACCGCAGGGGTTTGGCTCCAGGCTCCCTCCCAGGATACCAAAATCCATGAATGTTCAAGTCCCTGCTATAAAGTGGCTAGTATTTGCATTATAAACTAAGTATACCCTCCCGTATAGTTTAAACCATCTCTAGACTGCTTATAATACTTAACACAATGTAAACCCTATGTAAAAAGTTGTTACAATGTATTTTTTAATTTGTATTTTTAAATTTTTTTTTCCAATTTTCAATCCTTTTAGTTGAATCCGCGGATGGAGGGCCGACTGTAAAGCTGGGGTTTACTCTTCTTGACTTTTAAAAATGTACACACGTACACACACATACCTTTTTTTCCCCACAAGAAACTGGGGATGACAGTATACATACTGTTACGAAATTTGCCTTTTTCCTCTTGGCAGTGGTTATCTTGCTGTGTAGTCTTATTTGTCTCATTAATGAAGGCAGGGCTTTTGGGGGAGTTTGCGCTCTCTGATGGCACACCTGCTTGTGTGACTTTACTCACGTCACTTTACCTCTTAGGACTCCAGTTTCCCCCATTTGCAAAAGGAGGGCAGGGGACAGAGGATTCTGCGATGTCATGCCAATACGCAGGGCACCTCACCCCCTGCCCTCCTCTTGACTATCTGGCGTGTCCTCAAGGTGCAGTCCTATTTGACTTGGGCGGCAGCCGCCACTTTCATTAACTCAGATGACAAAGCCAACGCCAGCGCTGCTAGGAAACTCAAGAGAGCAGAGCCTCACCAGTCGCCCCTCGGGAACTGTGACAATGACGAGAGCGGAGGGGCGGGGCTGGGACTGGGGGCGGGGCTTAGGGCAGGGCGCCGGCAGAAGGGCTGGGCCGCAGGCCGGGGCGCGCGCTGCGTGCGGGCTGATAGGCCGGCCGCGGCATGACGTAATCGGCGCCCGCGCCAGTCCGCGCTCCGGCCCCGCCCCGCTCAGGCCCCGCCCCTCCGTCTCTCGCCGCGCGGCCCTTCAAGGCGCTGGCGCAGCGATGGCGGAGGCTGTGGAGCGCACTGACGAGCTGGTCCGCGAGTACCTGCTTTTCCGCGGCTTCACGCACACGCTGCGGCAGCTGGACGCCGAGATCAAGGCGGACAAGGAGAAGGGGTTCCGGGTGAGGGGCCGCCGGGCGCAGCGCGGGCAGGCGGCCCGAGGGGGCCCGGGAGCGGGCTTCCTCCCAGCACTGCCCTCCGGGGCGGGAGCGGCGCTGTCACTCGCGCCGGGGGGCAGGCAGGGGTGGGGACCAGAGACATCAGCGCGTTCGGCCCTCCCTTGACACTTGAGGAACTGAGGCCCTCGGACGTGACTTGCCTGAAGTTACCCAGAGAGGCATGAGCATCGCCGAGGCTGGAGCTCAGATGCCCTGACTCCTGCCTGGTCCAGGGCTCTGTTCTCCACCCCAGCCTCCCAGCAGGTGCTGGGCAGTCTTTGGCCAGGGTGGCAGTGAGGTTTTAGGAGCAAGACTAGGTAGATGACTGAGTTTTGGGAACAGAAATATTTAAGGGTTAGCCTCCAATGGTAGTGGGAGCAAAGGGGTCTGCAGTCCAAAACGTAAGCTGGGTTCAGGTACTTGTGGTGTTTGTCTAAAATGGCCTTGTCAGGGACTCATTGGCGATTTTGCTTCTTCAGTTGAGGAAGACCTCATTGAATATTTTTAAAACACAAACTTCCCCTGCTGTGATAAGATTTTCCATTAAGAGTTTCTTGGAATTTATATGTGTGTGATTTGTGTGTTTGTATGTGCTGTGGCAGTGAATTGAGAGGCAGTGAGCTAGAACAAGAGCACTGGAGAGGAGTGAGGAGATCTGGTTTCTTGTCTTCCCAAAGTTAGTGGCAAAAGCGAATCATTTCAGCTCTCCAGCTGCAGTGGCCTGATCTATAAAATAGGGAGTTGGATTGTCATCCAAAACCTTTTCCAGATTGTACACTCCTGTGTAATTGCTCCTCACAGGAGGTGACTTCTTTGGTGGACACTAGAGCAGCTACCAGGGCTTTGGTGGGATTTGATGACTCGAAGGAGTCAGTGCACCTCCTCGTGATCCTTGGAATCCTGGAATTGTAGAGCTGGGAGGAGGACCGTGGAGATTGCCTCACACACTCTCTCTCCCCCCACCCCTTTTTTTGTTAAATGTGAGGCAACTGAGACCACAGTTGAAGTGACATTGCCGAGTTGGTCAAGTTAGTTAGGGGCAGATCCAAGACCTCGTGCCAGATATCTTGCTTCCTGGTTCTACACCTGAAATTTCCATGCTTGCTAGAGGGTCAGACCACATATCTAACATCAGAAAATAACTTAAAAGTTGTTGCATAAATATGTTTTGAAAATTTTATAGATTGCTAACTTAATTTTTTTTTAAACATCCAGAAGCCACAACAAGAGGAAAATGCTGTGTTCTGTGGAGGGGAGTATTCACTTCTGTCCTTTACCACCTTCTCCATTCCATCTTTCTCTCACCAGGTCGACAAGATTGTGGACCAGCTGCAGCAGTTAATGCAGGTATATGATTTGGCTGCTCTTCGCGATTACTGGAGCTACCTGGAGCGTCGGCTATTTAGCCGCTTGGAGGATATATATAGACCCACCATCAACAAGCTGAAGACCAGCCTGTTCCGCTTTTATCTTGTCTACACAATCCAGGTGCTTGTTGACTCGGGTTCTGCTTCCCTTGGTGGAGAGAGCTCTGATCCAGAAATAGACATTCTTCAAACCCCTAGAGAGGACTCTGTATGTTGCTGTAGGAAAGAGTGGAACAGTCACAGTGCAAGTGGTTTTTGACTTTTTTTCTACTTTTTTTCCCCTATCATGTGTAGATCATCTGACTTGTCTTCCCCATACCTATTTCCCCTCTTGTTTTAGGCACGTAAGCCTGGGTGGTGTATTAAAGAATATAAGTAGCTGGGTTAAAATTTGAGTAAAAGTTATAACTCACCTGGAGAATAAGTCACTTAGTGGTTATTTGGACATCAACTAGGGATTAATTTTCAGGATGCAACGCATCATTAGCACTTCAGTTTAAACCACCTTTGAAATTACAGGGTCCTTGAGAAAAGAGTGGTGATTTCCTTTATATCGTGTAGTTTGTAGGTCCTGTTTTCCCACTTACCTGGCAGGCTGACATCCAAAGGCTATCTCTGTTGTGCAGTAATGAAGAATCTTACCTCTGGACTTCTGTCCTTACCCCCTTCTTGCTACCTCCTTTGTGTCTTGGCAGACAAACAGAACTGACAAGGCTCAGGAGTTCTTTGCAAAGCAGGCCATGGAGCTCCAGAACCAGGCGGAGTGGAAGGATTGGTTTGTCCTGCCCTTCCTGCCGTCCCCAGACACCAACCCCACCTTTGCTACCTACTTTTCTCGACAGTGGGCTGACACCTTCATTGTGTCCCTGCACAACTTCCTGAGTGTCCTGTTTCAGTGCATGCATATCCTTTCAGCTGCCTGGGGCTGTGGGCCCAGCCTGAGGCATCTAGGCCTCATGACCAGTAGCCTGCTGCTCTCGATGCAGCCATTTCTTCTAGAAAATGCCCAAGGATCATTGTCATGGGTCACATGAGGGGGCTGGACAAGTTGTGGTTGTTTTTGTCAGTAGGCCAGGGAATCATAAATCTTAGTTCTGAATCTGCGCCGCTGAAGTAATAGCTGACACGCATGGGCGGGGATGGCGGCAGCAGCCGGTGCTAGTACTGGGTTTGGGAAGCAGCTGCTTCCCAGAGAAAGTGGCCAGCCTTGAGAGCACCCTCTCTGTGCCTGACGTATGTCCCCAGGGATATCAGTTGCTTTTGCTGGGATTAGGCAGCAGATGAGAACACTTCTTGGTTATGGCATGACCATGTGGGTTGGAACTCTGTCTATGTTAGTGTTTGGGTTACTGTCTCTGATAGTGATCCCAGTGTTCCTCAACTTGCTGGAAAACAGAGTAGCTTTAAGATTATATATGTGGGGATTTGAGAGAGAGAGAATGAGAACAAGAATGTAGGCACATTTTGTCTTGGAAAACCTGAGGTCCCTGGGCCTGGGTCATGCTCCATTGCTCATGCTCTCTGGTCTGGAAATCTAGGGGAGGGGTAGGGAGTCTGGTTTGAATGGGGCTCCCTGGTGAGGCACTGATAAATTTGGGTGTTGTAGAGGCCCACTCGTTGGTGGCCATTTTGGCCTCTGGGAGGAATGTTTTCTGGTGGAGGGGGGAAGGGGGCCTTTCCTGTCTCTACCCTTTCTTTCTGTGTCGTGGATGAGTGTGAATCCTGCCCTTGCCAGAGCTGCCTTTTTTCTCCCCCTAGCTGCCTCTTTCATCCTGAGGGCTTTCCAAAGAAACTAGCGGGGTGGTTATGGCACGATCTTGTGGGCTCTCCAGGGAGATTGAAGCTGTCACTCAAGATCTTTTCAGTGCCCCTCAAACTAGGTCACACACACTTGAGCTCCAGTCTTCTTCCCTAGTACTGAGGCCCCATCCACTCTGCTCCCTCGTGACTGAAGCTGTCTGAGGCAGTAGAGAAATACCGATACCCTAAGCGTTCTCAGGGTGGCGTGTGGCCCTGTAATCAGCAGAAAGCTTTCTCTTCTCAGTCGAAACCTTTGCCAGGGAGAGGCTCAATCTGAGGAGGGGAAGCCAAGTGGCTGATCATTCTGCCTCGCTGGCCGTATGTTTGTGGAGCCACTGGCCTCCAGGGTTGGTTTTAGCTGAATGTCTGTACAACCTTGCTAAAGCTTAGACTGGCTATGAGGTACACTGAATGCTATCTCTTTACTACTGGTTTTTGGGAGTAAATGCTCAGGTTTAGGTTTATGCGTTTTCTGTGGGGTGGCCAGGCTGATTGTCATGTGTCTGTGAGTCTGTCTGAAAAAGTCAGACTAGGCCCAGAGACAAGGGAGAGACTGTTTCATAAAGCTGTGAAGAGCCCACGGCACTGATCCTGTACTCTCTTCTCTGTGTCTCATGTTTTGCTGCTGTGTCGAGAGATTGGGAAGGACTTTTAAACATTTCGTAGGCAGGTTTATTCTTTAACTTTG